TCTCTCTCTCTCTCTCTCTCTCTCTCTCTCTCTCTCTCTCTCTCTCTCTCTCTCTCTCTTTCTCTCTCTCTCTCTCTATCTATCTATCTATCTATCTATCTATCTATCTATCTATCTATCTATCTCTATTTATCTATCTCTCGTGTCGTGAAGCATTTACCGTCGTGCACGTCGATGTGGGCGCGCGTTTTTAGGAGGATCACATTGTCGTCGTTCAAAACCTCGAATGATTGTATCTAGCCATCGTTCCCGCATTGCCGTTTGGAACTCATCTGGCAATCTCTGTCGGAAAACGACGAATCCGCACAACCGAGAAAAAACGACATATCTGGTACTCATCGCTGGATCGCACTGCAAGGATAAAACATGGCAGAGAAATCCTCGCCATCGGAGACAAAATAGGGCGGTGACACGACCAAGCGCCAGGCGCCGTCCCGAGCGACTGTCCCGTAGTGTGTGTATAGTATGCGATGCACAAGGGGGAAGACAATATCATACATCAAATCACCGTCGACTGGTTTGAGAACAAAGGTACCGAAGTACGTGGTCAGCTTAGACATTAGGACACGAACGTGTTCGATGGCGTGATCACAAATATAAGTCTCTGTAGTGAGTCTGACGACTCGTTTCTCCTCGACGCTGACAACGAAATGACGATCCACCTTCTTGTCTGCATTGCGGTATCCCACTGCATCGCCGACAGGATCTGTTACGGGAGTCATTGATTCGTAATAGTAAACGGTGTCGCCGCCTGTCAGTTTTGTGGTGTGGTAACATCGGAAAATCATTGGCGCGCAATGCATCGTCGCTTCTTTCGTATGGCGTTTGAAAAGTGCTGCAAATCAGAGAAACCAAAACTGTAAGTTATGAACCCAACGATCGAGTAATGAATAACGTAAACATGATATTCTGCATGTACCGTGCGGGGAGGGGGAACGCCCTGTATACATATATATGGGATGAGCGGGTAGTCGCGGTCTCGAACACTGTCAAATGTTGAAAACCTTTACGATTTTGTTCGTCAACCCACCTGTTTCAGACTACGCATGAGACGAGCGGGATGATGGTTCATTGACACTTTGACACTGTTATCCGCAACCGTCCTTTGGCAACACACTACGCACATCTCTGTGGAGAAAACTACGGCGTTGCAGCGGCCGGTCGAGTTTGGAGAAATATCATGCGTTGCGTGCTAACCTTTCCACATGCTCGACCGCAATGACTGACACGATGCACCTTAGCAAATGACCAATCATATCGAAGTCGGGGGGTTCGSAGGCGTCGGGAACGACATCCGAAAGTTTTTTTGCGTGCATTACAACCTCATCAAGGCAATCATGGTCGTCGTMCCCCAGCCCCGCCACGACCCTCAAAGCGAGGGTGTCATCGATGAACGCGTAGTACACACGTGTTTTCGTGGCGACAACCCCTTCCAAGTATTCAAAGTCTCTTTCGTTTTCAGTATCGCGCTCACACACTGTCTCTCTCACGACGATTTCCTTTCCATCCACAGTCTCTTTCACAACAACAACTACGTTGGCCATGTTGTGTCCCAAGGTTGAATAAGTGAACGTGGCAATTATGAACAGTCTCAATGGCTAGCCGACGATACTGCGAAAGATGACGGCAACACAATGAGTACGATAAGCGACGGACACAATGAGTCGAGTCTTGCGGCTGCAAAAAACAATAATAACAATAATAATTACGAACAGTAGTACGTTGGTTGGTTAGTTCGTTGGTTGGGCGGTTGGGCGGTTGGGTTAGGTGGTTGGTTGGGTGGTTGAGCGGATGGATGAGTGATTGTGTGGCTGGTTGCTTGGTTGGTTGGGTGGTTAGGTGGACGGTTTGGTGGTTTGATGGGTTGATTGGTTGGGTGGGTGGTTGGGTGGTTCGGTTGTTGGGTGGTTGGGTGGGTGGGTGGTTCGTTGTGTGGTTAGGTGGGTGGTTGGGTGGATGGGGGGCTAGGAGAGTTGGTTGGGCGGTTGGATGGGCGAGCTCCAAAACATTGGGTGGTTGAGTGGTCGGTTGGGGCTGGCGGTTGGTTGGGTGGCTGGAGTGGATGGTTGGGTGGATGTGGTGGTTGGTTGGGTGGTTGGGAGGGTCGTACATTAGGGTATTATGTTTGGGTGAGTGCGTTTGTGGATTGGGTGGGTGGTTGGGTGGTGGGCTGGCGGGTTGGTGGGTGGGGGGGCGGGTTGGTGGGTGGGGGGTTATGTGGGTGGTTGGGTGCTTAGGTGGTTAGGTGGATTGGTTGGTTTGGTGGTTGGGTGGTTGGGTGGGTGGTTGATTGGATAGATTGATTTATTTATTTATTTATTGATTGATTGATTGATTGATTGATTAATTCATTGATCGATTGATTGATTGATTTTGTTTTTTGTTTTTTATTGAAAAAAAAAAAAAAAAGATAGATAGATAGATAGATAGATAGATAGATAGATAGATAGATAGATAGATAGATAGAGAGAGAGAGAGAGAGAGAGAGAGAGATGTACTTACTTGTGTGAAATATATCACTTTGCGAATAAACGAACCCCGCATATATTGCACATTCTCCCGGTCCCAAATGCGACATCAAATGTTTGTAAATGACAATTTTCTTTTTGAGTTCACTGATCGGATTGATGTGCTGGGCGATGGAACATTCCTCTGACATAAGGTTCCCGAAGACAGGGGAGCCATTGTTGTGCTCCCAGTTGGGTAGCGACCACATGCTAGGCAACGACCCTCACTGTTGCACCTCACAGTTTCTGTGCCAGACATCATTTTGTTCATATGAGAACCATCAGCACATGGCTGATTTGCATTAGCAGCTTGTGTTCTGTAATGCAGAAGTTCATTTTTCCTAGCATTCACACGCCGTTCGTGCAAGTCGATTTATTGTCGCATAGCATGCAAATCAGCAGTCGTGCTCCGAAGGACTTCCTCGGCTGCATGCAAGCGTTTCGTAGTCACTTCAAGAGTGTTGACCACATCTTTAATTGCGAGTCTTACGTCGCTCAGTAGTTTGTCTTTCGACATTTGCACACACGATGAACTCGAATAATAACGACACCGCAACGAGACCTTGTAGTGGCTGCACGAATGAAATATAGCACGTGATACAATGTTATGTGTTACCCCTCTCTCTCTCTCTCTCTCTCTCTCTCTCTCTCTCTCTCTCTCTCTCTCTCTCTCTCTCAAGCATCCTACTTTTCCGAATCAGAGAAGTCTGTGTTCTAAAAATCAGGCGGTGTCGACGGTCTACGTTAGTTCTCCTTGTGTCGTAAACATTCTTGCACAATTTAATGTCGTTCTTTTCCGTGCACACAAACCGCGTCACGAAAACGTTTGCACTTGAAGCATTCATGTCTCTTTAGCAACTCTATGTCTTATTTCTTCCTGCAATTCCAAATGCATTGGGGTTGTGGAGCCTTTCCAGATGTACTGCAATTCCGTGCTTTGCTTTTTTCGGTATCCTTTGCTGACTCGCTTTCTTTGTGTTTTCGCCCGTTGTTCACATCGCGTGACAAACCCTCCCCTTACTCATGGTCGCATATCATTATCCCTTTGTAGTTCGACCTACAAGCTCGCGCGCGCTCCAGGAAACCGAAAGACGAGAGCAAGGGATCTCGCTTGTTTTTTCCGTCATTTTTTTCACAAGTGTCAGCGTTTCGCAGTCGAGCGAGAGCGGCATCGACA